CCCCAAAACCCCAAAACCCCAAAACCCCAAAACCCCAAAACCCCAAAACCCCATACAAGATAGAGATAATTGAGAAAAAAGATAAGTTAAATAATAGAGTTAATATCTCCCAGATATTCCTTTTTCGGGATTTTAGAGCTGTGATTATTCGTATCCTGCCAAAAGAAGGCGGAAGTGAGTGAGAATATCTGCCTCTAAAAATCAGCTTTTAAGGAGATTAAACCACACGCCCATAAGAAAGCAAATTTACAAAAATGTAAATTGTTAAATCCCAAGGCAACCAATCAAATTCCTAGAATCGATATCTTCTGGAGCCTCTAGCGATATTTAAGTTCGGAAATTAAATTCATAATTAAATAATTTAAATTAGAAATGGCTAGAACTAAGCAAACCGCTAGAAAGAACGTTGGAGGAAAGGCTCCAAGGAAGCACATTGGACAAAAATCCGCCAGAAAGACTGCCTCTACCACCGCAGGCATGAAGAAGCCACATAGATATAGACCAGGAACCGTCGCTCTCAGAGAAATCAGAAGATACCAGAAATCTACTGAACTCCTCATCAGAAAGCTCCCATTCCAGAGACTCGTAAGAGAGATCGCCCAGGAATTCAAGGGAGACTTGAGATTCCAGAGCTCTGCCGTGCTTGCTCTCCAGGAAGCCGCCGAAGCCTACTTGGTCTCATTGTTCGAAGACACCAACTTGTGCGCCATCCACGCCAAGAGAGTGACCATCATGCCAAAGGACATGCAACTCGCCAGAAGAATCAGAGGAGAGAGATCATAAACTAATTCTTCATAAATACTCACATAGTGGGATGAATTCGCATAAAACGTTGTCTTTTCGGGTTAAATCGGGGCTGAGAGGGATTTATATGGGCTTATTAGATTTTGTCATTACAATGCTATTTTATCGCAAAACCGCATATTCAGGTTTCAAGCAACCTCTTACACTGCAGTTTGTACACAACGATTTAGGTGTTAGATTTATTTAGGAGCCATTTTAGTATTTAAATTAAGTTTTACTTTCTTTGTTTTTTCTATTGCGTTTGCATTGCTATTACACTCTTGTGGCACTGGGTACAAACACAGTAGCCTGTTGTATCAACCTACTCATGTATGAGTATGCGTGTATTTGCACTCCACTGTATTCTTGCATAACTGGAGCAGTCTCACAGATGTGTCAGTTGCTGGTTATAACAGAGTCAGGCCCAGAATCGCAAATTGGGTTACAGTTCGTCATGCTAGCCCAGTTCACTGATGAACACACTGGCTCGTTCAGCAGTTTATTCTGGAACCCACGCAATTCGTATGAAATACCGTAAAAGCAACACGAAGCGCTGCCAGCCCACAGAAATCAGCGTATTTCACCAATATTTTGCCACTGGTCGGGGCGCAGAGTATCGGCTTCAAAGCCAGCCATTAACACACTGCTCACCTAGAAACGACCGAATCTAGGGTTGCACAGATGTGAGTGATCTGGGATCATTACAGAGAGAGCAGAGTCTGTTGGCTGCATTCACTTCCAGTCTGAGTGTTTCTGGAGACAAAGCTGGCTAATGCATGTGTGGACAGGCAGTCCCGTTTGAAGATCCATTATTGGGGATTCTGAGAGAGCCCTGGGCTCATGATGCTCGGAGGCATCTCCTAAAATATGCTATTAGGCTGAAATAAAAGTTAATTTTGTGCTTTTCTCAGATAACAATTAAAATAAATAACAACGGGGTTTTGGGGTTTTGGGGTTTTGGGGTTTTGGGGTTTTGGGGTTTTGGGG